CTCCCTTCCTTCCTTCCTTCCAATGCAGTCAATGCAGTATATCTTTTATATTTTTTTGCCATTTTTCTTTTTTCCCTTCTTTTGTCATTCTCTTATTTTTTCCTTTTAATGTCTTTTCTTCCTTCCTTCCATCCTTCCTTCCATTTTTCTTTTGTACTTTCTTCTTCCTTCCATCATCCATCTATCCATTTGTTCCCTTTTCTTTCTCTGTTCTACTTTTTCTTTTGTTTTTTTTTCTTCTCATACTCCCACGGTCCCTCTCCTTCTCTTTTTCTTTTTTCTCCTATCCATCTCTTTAGAGAAAGAGAGAGCGAGAGAACTGCCACTATCTCTCTCCTTTTGGAGCCATGTCAAGCTTCCAGTGACCAAATGTTTTTGTTTTGATCCTGTATGTGTTTTCGTATCTCCTTTATTTATTCATGACAGTCAGCAGCCATGCAGAAACTGAATTGAGCAACACATATTAGCAGCACAGAGTCTGGCCTCTTTTAGAAACGCCTCGACCTCTCCTTCATGGGTCATAACAAGGCAGGGTCGAATTCCCAAAACTAATTTTTTCAAAGCTTGAACTTCACTCTACATATGTGACAATACTGCAAACGCTCACAAAACACTGATTTGTAAATCTTTTTAAAGAAAAATATCACTTTTCATCAAGGCTGTGATTTTCTGGCACGTTCTAAACAAGGTGAATGAGGTGACAGACTGTGAAGCTGTTATTGTCAAAAAAAATCTGATGAAAAAGAAGCAGTTTAGAAGCAGTGAACAATTTCAGTAAAAAGCTTTTCTTGAACAAAGAAGTGTCTGCTTTTTAGATGACACCACACGAACCTCATTAACCAAGAGAGATGGATATTAAAGTCGATATAAAAAGGTGTTTATAACCCATTTTGCTTCTTTATTTTCAAATGAAAGAAGACATTCAATGAGATTCAATGTATTGAACATAATGTTCAATTAAAAGAATAGGATGGGACTTGATTTTATGCATCAGGAACTGATTAGGGAATAAAAAAACAAGTTGAGGGCAAGGACTGTTTTAAATCTGTAGAGCAAGCTGACCGTAATGATGTAATGATGTGAACACTAAAGAGTTAACTCTCTGCCTTGTGTTTACTTCAGCAAATATCACCCTGTGCTCATCTGACCAGGTCACTACGGTCTCATGACACCAGTGCCAATCACAGTGTACTCGGATGCTCCTAATTGCTGTCATGTTTCATTGTGACGTACCTGAGTATCTTCTGGAAAAGACATGACCTTGCTCACCTTCGCAGGTATGTGGATCCAAATAGCCGCGTTGAACAGAATATGGTCACAGAGTTGTTTGAGAAGAGGTGCACCGTGGGTAAGGCCGATCAGGTATTTGGCGAAAGCGAGGAACTGCTCCAGAACGGCTCTGGTGACGTGCGTCCGTGATGCCTAAGAAACAATTATGAGATTTTTGTTTACCAAACCAACCTCTGATTCTCAGTATCTTTATAAAATAAATATCAAACCAACATCTGAAGCCTGAAGGCACCGTTTGACTTTGCAGCTAAACAAAGACTTTAACTGTGTAGAAACTTTGTGTGTTATTAGTCTCAGCTGGCACCTGAGGTCCAGACAGGTACGTGGTGTGAGACAGGAGTGAGTATAAACGAGACACAAACAGATGGCCGGCTACGTGTGAATGGGACGCAAGGCAGTGGGATCATTCAGGTGCCATCTAGCACAGATTTATAGCTGCTGCTGTTAAATGACAAAGTGAGTCTTTTACTCAAGCGCCAACTTTAGATGGAGCCAAGGGTATATTGAGACTATGAAATAAGGACAGCTATGAATAAGCAAAGATAGCGAGAAGAAAAAAGAAAAATGACAGTGGGTTAATTTGTATGTCATTGCAATAAACCCATGGACAAGGAGGAATATAATAGTGCCGTTGAACCGGCATTCACTGTGGAAATGCTTAAGTGTGCATTTGTCATTCATCAACCATAATGCACCATTTCTCCTCTGTCCTAGCAATCGAATTGGGTGCGTGTTTTTTAAATTCAGCTCGTGCTTACAAAAGCGTGAGTCAATCAAGGTCATGACAACTCCAGAAAGTACAAATCTTAATACTCTTAAAGTGTTTAAAGAAAGGAGCAAGTGTTTGTGAGCTTCATGACTTGAGTAAAAGCACAATTTGTCCATTACACATCAAAATTCCTTGACGTTTCACAGTTTATGGTGTTATTCAAATTAATGCACAACTATTAGACATTTGTAAGCTGATTTCCCCAAAGAGTGTAAACAATGTGTTGTTTTAAACATTCTTCTGTTTAATTGAGTGGCACGACGTAATAGCAATGGCCCAACCAATGTCTTCGGGTGCGTCCGTCCCCGAGATTGGTTTGCAGCGATCGACCTGAAGGACGCGTACCTTCATGTGTCGATCCTTCCACGCCACAGACCATTTCTGCAGGTCTATCGAAGCAATATCCCAATTCATCGGTCACGACGTGACGTCTCCGTTCCCTCCTTCAGGGAACGAGGGTTACCATACGTAACCGAGACGTTTCTACAATTTTGTCTGAACAATGGTTTGCGAAAACCTATTTGGAAAACGTTATTTTTGCAATTCCGTTTGGTGCTGCTAACAGCATGAAAATTACACACGTTAGCTTTAACCAGTCTTAATTGTATGTTGGAATAAGAAAAACAAAAGAAAACAGTGGCATCACCTTTTCCAGCAGGTACCCAATCACCAGGAAACCCTTCCCACCAAGCATCTGCTCTTGCATTGCCACTGAACTCTTGAGTAGCTCGAACAGGAAGGCCAGGAGAGTGGAACTGCACAGAAAACATCTCATTACACTAAACTGGGTAACCACTGCAGAATCAAGATCAAATACTTGCTGACCAAATATTAATGGAACGAATGGTAAGAACATCCAGCACTTGATATATCGCTTATGTTATTGGTTAATATTTTTTTTTCTCCCATTTACTGTATCTCAATCGGCTAAAATTGAATATTTAATTGTGGGTGCTTAGTTCATATATTTTTACATTTAGATTACCTTTGTCGTCATCCAAATCTCACCTAAAGTTAATGTTTAAAAACACTAATATTTACTAACAACGTTAAATGTAATCTTTAACAAATCTCACAATTAACATTCATTTGTATTGTGATGACTAAATTCACTTGTAGCATTTAAAATGACTGATTTTAATTTTTACTGGTTATTTTTCATTTATTTTGACAAAATAGTACAGAGTTTTAATATCTGTCTTACTAGTTAAAAGAAAATAATTAATATTACTCACTACTATTCAAAAGTTTGGGGTCTGTAAGATTTTTTTTTTCATGTTTTTGAAACTTTAAAACATAACAAGGCTGGGATAAAAAATACAGTAAAAACAGAAATTATGTGAAATACTATTTTTATATATTACTATAATAATATAATATAATATAATATAATATAAACAGATATGCTGCTTAATATTTTTAAATAGTGGGAACTTTGAATATTTTAATTTTTAAATTACAATTTAAAGATTTTTTGACCAGTAGATAAGTCAAAAGAACAGCTTTTATTTTAAATAAAACTTTTTTGTAACATTATAAATGTATTTACTGTCACTTTTAATCAATGTAATGCATCCTTGCCGAGTAAACATTAATTTCATTCAAAAGGTGGAAATTATGTTACTTACCACACTGTGGTCTCCACTTGGCTTTCACTGTGCTGATGGAAATCCAGCTGTGCAAAGAGAGGAAACAGCACCTGGATACCGCCAATGGAGTGAATGGCACTTCATTCAAATATGCTATTTGATTAAACATTTCTTATTATTATCGATGTTGAGAACAGATATGCTGCTTAGTATTTTTGAATATTGGGATTTTTTAATGTTTGATTATTATTTTTTATTTTTTTTCAGGATTTAAAGAGTAGATTAGTCAGCATAAAGAACAACATTTATTTGAAATAATTGACTTCAATCAGTTGAATGCATCCTTACTGAGTAAACGTATTAATTTCATTCAAAAGGTGGAAATGACGTTACTTACCACACTGTGGTCTCCACTTGGCTTTCACTGTGCTGATGGAAATCCAGCTGTGCAAAGAGAGGAAACAGCACCTGGATACCGCCAATGGAGTGAATGGCACTGTGAATGGAGTGTGTAACGATGGCCTTCACATCCTATATAGAAACAGAAGGAAAAAATCAAATGGATTAAAAAGTAGTGGTAGACATATTCAGTAATTACCTGTTTTTGCCAGTTTAAAAGTACTTACTCACATTAACCACTGACTAATCTCAGTGGAAATGTGTTCCTCCAAACAATTAACATTGAATGGCAAACACTGACATTATCTTGTGGAGTTAGCTAAACAATGCAGCATCTGATTAACATTTAGTGACATTACCAACCATTATGTGGTTTATTTAGGATTAAGAGAGTAGAACGCAGTCTCTAAGCATTAAGCAGACATTTACCTGCAGCATTAGAGCGTGAGGCGAATGCACGAATATGGATGGGTTTTCTCTGGGTGAGGACTCCAGGCAGAGCTGAGCATCTGTGGCTTTGGCGTTGTAAGTGCAGGAAATGCTGTTTGCTAACTTCCCATCATACAACACTTGCTTATGGTGGTCAGCCAGGTGGATATCGCTCTCTGATTTAAATTTAAAGGTGCTCTAGGGAGGTAAAAAAGTTAAAAAGATGGATTCAAAAGAGAAATCTAGACCAACACAGAGAAAATCTGGTCTAAATTTGCCTCTAAAAGGTGCATAATAAAAGTGAGACATGTCAAGTGAGAGAATTAACTAAGGAGCGAATTATCACAAAATATGACAATGTAAATTTAACACATCTTAAAATAGTACATCTATGTAAATCTTATTATTCCATGCACTTATTAAAGGATTTACTATTCCTAGCATGAAAAGGAGAAGATTCTTTTTATGCAGTGATTAAATCTTATCCAAAGTCGTGGGAGCGCAATGAATAATAAATGAGCTCGGTGACATGAAATAATCATGAAGATGAAGTAGGGGCGATGTGGGAATCCCCCCGCTGAATTATCATTCATGAGGTTGTTTCGTGTGCTGTCAAATCAAAGGCCTGCGGCCCAACACCTGCAGCACATCCCAGGTGATGATGTCATCCAGATGTGACCTGCTCCAGACGTGTGCTAACTGTGTAAATGTGCGGCAAGCAGACAACGATAACAAGGAATTTATAGAAAATCACCTGCCTTTTTATCAGCAAACATGTGCTTGATAACATTATCAAGAAACATTGCTTATAGTTTGTCATGTGACCAGGTAACATATACTATATATGCACTTATCAGCACGTCTGGATATCATTCTATGCAAAATTATGGGCAGCAAACTTTCTTTCCCCCACAGATACACATAAAAACACAGGCTATGTTCTAAATCTAAATCTTTCTAATATGCTGATTTGCTGCTGAAGGAATACTTCATATTATTATCAATGTTGGAAACAGTTCAATATTTTGCTAAATATTTTTTGTGGAATTGGTCAAACCTTTTTTTTCAGGATTAGAACATATAAAAGAACAGCATTTATTGCAAACAGAAATCTTTTATAACACTATAAATGTCTTTGCTGTCACTTTTAATCAATTTAATGCATCCTTGCTGAATAAAAGTATTAATTTTGTTTTTGAAAATTCTGAATGGTATTTCATATTATTAATTAATAAATAAGATTTCAAATTAATAGGCTGTTCAAAATTTAATACTAGTGCGTTACATAAGGCATACTGTGGAGTATATTATATTTATTGCTATATTTGTTTGAAACGACACAAAATTCAACAATAGTTCCGCACTACTTTTTGTTCTCACATGGTATATTTGCAAACAATGAATTCATTATTTCAGTAAATATAAACTAGGTGCATGTTTTATTAACTTTATGTAAAACTTCCCTAAATCTAACTTAAACAACGAGTAAAAAATGAGGTGTTAACAACTGCTGATTTTATTTCCAATTCTGAAAAGACACGAACCTCAGTTGCATTCAAAAACTAACTACCTGTCCCTTTATATTCATATTTTATTATCCACTAACTAATCACAAGTGTCTTTTTAAAGATGTAGGAGGGTGTTTGTAATTAACTTGTTGTCGTTAAATATGTTATTATTGCATTCAAAAACTAACTACCTGTCCCTTTATATTCATATTTTATTATCCATGCACTAACTATTCACAAGTGTCTTTTTAAAGATGTAGGAGGGTGTTTGTAATTAACTTGTTGTCGTTAAATATGTTATTATTATGCGAATATGGTTTCTAAGGCAATAAACTTGATAAAATTTCCATATTTTTCTTTTCACAATCTGTGAGCAAATAAATACATCATTATATGCAAACAAGTATATCTGCTATCTGTTGCTTATGTTAGCTTTATTCTTTACAAAATGGAGAAGAGAGTGAGAAAAAGAAACATACCAGATTTGTATGCTTATCTGATTTTATCTGTATGCTTATTTTGACCTAAAAACATTCATGTTGTTTGGTTTACTCTGCTGAACAGAGATAGAGTAAATGTCACCTGTTGCTGGTCACGTTGCTGCTGCAAACATATGATACAGCACAAAGCAAATCTCAAAATCCATCAGATTGACTGGAAAATAAATACCACAGCATGTTAATGGATGCTGACAGTTTTGCAAAAAAGCTAAAAGCACACCATCAGACGAAAATAAACCTGACAGAACGCCGGCGTAACGTCACTTTTGGCAGAAACTGATGATGTAATGCTCACATGTTATCTCATAGTGAGACTTCGCAGTAGCAGTAGTGCATCTGTCTTCCATGACAACAGGGAGAGTTCTTTTTAACGTTATACTCACCAAAAAATCCAGAAAATTCTGGAAAAAATGTTTTATGGTTTCCACAAGAGCTCCAAATCAGCATATTAGAATGATTTCTGAAGGATCATGTGACACGGAAAACTGTTAATCTGAGACCAAACCTGTTCATGGTTCAGTTAAGACAAGAAAAGGGGTCTGATTGGGGGTCAGTGTTTTTTGGCAGCTGCAACATAGACTGTCTTTTCTGTTGAGTCAAGGTGGTAATCAGGTCATCTTCAGATCAGTCACATAAATCACAGGAGACTGTCCTTGTCCGGGAAGGTACTCTGCTAAAAGGCTAAGAAGACTATGAGGACCTAAGGGAGCCAACACACTACAGTTAACAGAACAACAAAACCAAGCCCAAACAAAGTAAAAACAAAAACACAAAGCAAAGCAAAACAAAACAAAACACAAACAAATGAAAACAATAAATAAAATAAAATAAAATAAAACAAAGCAAAGCAAAAAAAAAAAAACAGTAAGCAAAACAAAAAAACAAAAACAAAGGCAGGTACAGCAAAGCAAAACAGAGGAAAAATCTATTTAATAGTTATTTTGATTAACATGACTTTAAACTACGAAACCAAGCCAAGACAAAGCAAAAACAAAACAAAAAACAAAAACACAAAAAGCAAAGCAAAACAAAACAAACCATCAAAAACAAAACAAAGCAAAGCCAAATTAAAGCAAAGCAATACAGGGGAAAAATCTATTTAAAGGGGTCATATGATGCGATTTCAATTTTTCCTTTTTTTCAGAACAATGAGCTTTGTAAAAATTGACGCGTTTCAGAAAGGCGGGGCATAGAGGAGAAACATTCATGTACAGTATGTGGGAAATAATGTGTTTTTTTAACCTTAAACCGCATAAACACATTTCATTACACCAAATACACAAAATAATGTTCTTTTTAGCAACATCATATGACCCCTTTAATAGTTATTTCAACGAACATGACTTGAGAACTAAAAAACCAAGCCAAAACAAAAACACAAAGCAAAGAAAAACAAACAAAACAAAACATAGCACAAAGCAAAACAAAAAAACAAAAAGCAAAGGTAGGTAAAACAAAGCAAAAACAGGGGGAAAATATATTTAATTTTTATTTTTATTAACATGACTTTAAACTATGAAACCAAGTCAAAACAAAACACAAAACAAGCAAAGAACAAACATAGCACAAAGAAAAGCAAATAATAAATAAAACAAAGAAAAGCAAAAAAAAAACAATGACTGAATTCAAACTATCTTATGGAATATATGCTATTCCACATCCATGTTTTGTTTTGCTACAGAAAAAAAAATGTACTTGCATGTGCAGGCTCTAAAAAAAAAATTGATTTTTTTTTTTTTTTCACCCTCATTCTGTCATTTGGTCCACAAACACCACTATAAAGGAGAGAGAGTAATGCTTATAGTGGATCCATCACAATTAAAAACCCATTTTATCACGGTTTTCATCAAATGGGGGCCAGGCCCTGTGGTCTAGCCCTGCTAACATAAACTCCAAAGGCCTCTGCCCTATTACTAGACAAGGTAGACCAGCCCGAAGAGCTGACAGGCAGCCTGATAGCTGGCACTCCACTGAAATATACAACCCCTTTTCAGATTTCGAGAGACTCCATTCACAGGTTCATCTGGGGTGGGTAATTGCTTTCTCCCTGAAGCAGACTGCTCATTATTTCTGCCAACCTGCCCGTCACGACGACGTGAGGGGCAGCGGGAATCAGAGGTCTAGAAGCGCAATTAATAAAGGAAATGACCAGCCCACACTGATTAGAGAAAAACCAGTGCAAATGTCTACCAGGTAGTTTAAAACACACAAGGTAAAAATAAGCAAATAAACTGTTAGGATGAGTTTAAGCAGTTATGAGCTTACTTGTCCTTGCAGATTACACAGCCCATAACTAAAACACTACTGTAATGGAGCAAAGGCAATAGAGATGGTGTCAGAATTTGAAATTAAATTAGCAAAAAGCTCATCATTCATAAACAATGGCTTTGAACCAATGTAATGTCATTTTTGGGATACATATGCATAGATAATGAGTCACTAATCAAAGCCTGGTGCTTCAGAGAAAATTAGACTTTGCACAATGAGACTGAAAAACTGCTGCGAGTCCTAATTACTAATATGACAGAGCTTCATATTTAATAAGGATACAGCCTTGGAAAAAAGAAAAAAAATCACAGTAACCTGCTCTGTTTACCCCATGGACGCAATTAAACACAAATCGCTTCAAAAGCACCTTGAGAATTAGCTACAAAAGGTCAGAAACATGAAAGGGAAAGAAAGACTATAAACTATCCAGAGGCAGACTTCATCAACGGAAGACTTCATTAAGAAGCAAAACTGAGAAACTTTGCTGTCGTTCAATATAAAAGCAATAATGCACGACAACAAGAAGAATAAAGTTCATCAAACAAACGTTTGGTAATAAGTAAATATGTAAATGCAGCTTTTCACACCTCATTTTTTTTGCTGGAAAATTCAGTTTTGTAATCTAATAGCTGGACAATAATGACCAGCTAGAAATCAGCTGAGATTTAGATCTCACATACATGGTTATGTCCTCAGGGCGATGGTGAAATCATGTTGGAAGACACATTAATCAATAACCAAATGTCACTGACAAAGGAATAACATCTCTTGGAGATCAATGGTGGCTGCGAAGCGTTGGTGTGTAACGCACTTTGGCAAATCTGACTACATACCTTGTATCCTGGGCCTAGTTGATGGATGGCGAATATCTGAGCAGGGTTTAGCGCTTCACTGAACACATAGATGGCTCCGAGCTGTCCGCAGAACACTCGGTTGGCGTCTGCCGTCTCAGATGAGCCGAGGAAACATTTGTCATAGCTCTGTGATAAGCACATGAAGAAAACAGCTTGGAGTTCTTCGTAGCAATCTCTCAAAAGTGAATAGTAGGGGAAAAAATAGAGTGCTGGTGTGGAAATATAGTGGATGTCAGTATGCAAACTTCATACTAAGCGAGTAATGGTTCACAGCGTAATTGAGATGTAGCATTACAGAGATGTTATTCTGTGCTGAAACCTGCCTATTAGTTTAATGAAAATCGGCACCCAGGAGATCTGAGGTTAAGCACTGCTGGTCCAACCTTTTAATTATCTTACATTGCTTTCAGTGAGGTACAGAAAAACAGAAGCATAGGTCTGTGAATTTTAATCCAATCGTTGAAGCCCCATGATGATATCTCACATAAGATATGAGCTGGCAAAAAAGGTCTGTATTTCCACAGACAACTTCATATTTTTCTACATTAGAGGGTTCCATTTTATTAATCAGAATTTTTGTCACGTTTACTCCAAATATAAACATAATTACATTTTGTTATATGTTGTATAGTCAATTACTGATTCCAAATTACAAATAAAATAGTAGCTAGTAACGTAATCCATTACATTACACATTTTAGGTAATATAATCAGACTACTTTTTGATTACTTTTAGATTACATTTGAATTGTTGAAATGTTGAGAAACCGCTTCTTAAAACGGAAATGATTTTTGTAAATCTAGAGTTCAAATGCCGTGTTGCCTCTCAACCAGAGGCGGACAGCAGTGACGTATGTTTACTTTACTCAAGTAAATTAAAAAAGTATCTGTAGTTTATCACAAATATTCCTAAAAATAACAAAATACTGATTAATAAATTATTTTTGCAACATGCACTGCATGATAGGCTTGATGTGTTGGCAGAAATAAACGTAATTTATTTATTCCGAAACTGTGATAAATCAATGCATCTTTCATAGTTTAATTTCACACTGTGCACACAGTGGTGATGATATTTCTCTGAGACAACATCCGGCAGCTACAGACAGCTACGGTAGTTGCGATAGCAAAGTGGTCTTACGTCATTGGTGTTGACGTTTACATTTACTTGAGTAAAAGTAAGAAAGTAATAGATTTCTAATGTATTTAAGTATTAAATGATATTTAATATAAAACGTAGTGCAGTAAAAAGTGCAATATTATGCTTTGGAATGTTGTGAAGTAAAGTTTTCTAAAGAAAAACACTCTGCTAAAGTACAGACACTTGAAAAGTACTTTTAAAGCAAAGTAAAAATACTTCACTACTGTCTTCACAACTTTCTGTGTAATTATAACCATCTTACTAGTGACTAGTCTTTGTGTGAAAGTCCACAAAACTGGAAGACTTCCTGAATGTATGTTATTTTAGAAAAGTACTTTTAAATGATGAAAAAGAAGAATTAGGGAGAATCAATAAATTATGAATAATTTATTCCTATTGTGTGAATAGTATATAATTATGTAATCAATAAAAAAATGAACTGTAGTCTGATAACAATTATTTTTAAATGTAATAGAACCAATTTTTACTATTTTACAAAAAACCCTATGTGAGTCTAAACCACTGGAGATCAGAAGAATTAAACAGTTCATTTACATGTGCATGAAAATCAGATTAATCCAATGAACTATAAAAATGTATTTCTCTTCTTAAACTGCGCTAAAATGATAAACTGTAGTTTTAATGATTATTGGACCACAAGAGGTCTGAATCAGATCAGCTTATCTTTATCGGCTGAAAATGAAAACAGTATATTTAATTTCTGTAAATGTAAATAGTCTCCCACTAAAATGCTCATGCTATTTTTTCAGCTAAGTATTTTTATTTTATTTTGCATCATCTTGTGTTGCATCATTTCAGACAATATGCAAACTTGCCCACGTGACTGCAATTAAACTGTAAAATTTAATTTTAGGAAAGACCTTCAAGACCTTGGCAAACCCTTTCCCTAAGGCTCTAAAGAGCAAGTTTGAGCTATTAACACTTATAAAGATTACACCAGCTAAGAGCATTAAATATTGAGTAGAAACAAGGAAATCATTTATTAGACAGATGTTTCAAAAATGCAGCAGCTGTGCAGTGATTTCCAAGAGATTTCCCTTCGATTCAACACAACAAAAACAAATACAGAAAATGGCCTCAGTTATCTCATGTCCTGGGGTTCAGTAACAGTTTGTAAACATGATATTTAGCCCAGTTAACTGGATCATGCATCCTCCGGCACAGCTTTGTGATTTTCACTGAGCATCACAGCAAGAAAATTCACAAGTGCATCCACTCGATTCTTACTACTTCACAACACAATCAGTAGATTACTACAGATGCTAGTAGGAGAAAGAGAGAATCAAAGCTGGAAATGAAAGCCTACCTTGCGGGGCTGAAAGTCATATTTCACGCAGTGCTGGAAGCCTTTTCCTTTTGACTTCAGTGATGTCACAATCAAGCAGTTCCCCACAAAATGTGCAGAGTAGCCGATGCCTTTGCTTGTGCGGAAACTGAAATTGAGAATCAATAAATACATAGAATATAGAGCAATTCATAACACTTTTATGTGGTATATATGAAATATCCTCTCTTAAAGGGTGTTCACACAAAAATGAAAATTAGCCTGTGATTTACTCACAATCAAAGCATCCTAGGTGTATATGACTATCTTCCTTCAGAAGAATCCAATCGGAGTTATATAAAAAAATTGTCCTGGCTCTTCCAAGCGTCATTACAGTGGATGAGTGTTTCTGTTAAACAGTCTAAAAGACGTCAAATAAAGTGCGCGCATCCATAATCAAATGTGCCTCACACGGCTCCGGGGGGTGAATAAAGGCCTCCTGTAGTGAATCCATGCGTTTTTGTAAGAAAAATATCCATATTTCAAATGTAATAAAAACCTTTCTCTCACTTCCGCTATCTGTCATACGCGGAAGCTGTTCCGGTGGATGACGTACGATGTACAGTATGTGTCGCGTGCCTCTGAGATATGCTAGTCTCGCGAGTATGTTTACAGGAGCAAAGGAAGCAAAGTTTCCTTACTTTAGCAAAGGAAAAACAGTCTCCTCTTGGCTTATATCGAAATCCTCCAACATTTTTCTTTACAAATCTTCGGTTTGTACTTCTAATTCATGACCGGCATTTTGTTTTGTTCTCTCTCCGCGTTCGTCACTAATCACGCAATGCCGATGTCCTACGTCATCCGCCGGAATGGCTTCCGGGTACCACAGAAGTGTTTATTATGTTTGAAATATGGATATTTTTCTTACAAAAACGCATGGATTTGCTACAGGAGGCCTTTATTCATCCCCCGGAGCTGTGTGAGGCATGTTTTATTATGGATGCGCACACTTTATTTCACATCTTTTGGACTGTTTAACAGAAACACCCACCCACTGTAATGATAACGCTTGGAAGAGCCAGGACAATTTTTTTATATAACTCCGATTGGATTCGTCTGAAAGAAGAAAGTTATATACACCTAGGATGCCTCAAGGGTGAGTAAATCAAAGGCTAATTTTCATTTTTGGGTGAACTAATCCTTTAACATTCCCTTTTTGAAAAAAAGCTTAAACCAGCTAAAGGCATGAACCTGTGAAGCCCAGTTTAGATCTGGAAAACCACCTAAACTAGCTTAAACCTGTTATGACCAGTAATCCACCTGAGGCTGGTTTAAGCGTGCTATGGTAAGTAGTAATTGGCAATTGTTTTGGAAAAAACAAACAAACAAAGAACACTTTAAACTAGCTTACAGTTGGTTTGCCAGTTTTAGCTGGAGTTGTAGCAAATTTTTTAATAGGGATTTTGGGCACTTTGGCTCCGACCAACTAAACCAGCATAAATGCCAAGTTCTGTCATGAAACTCTAGATGGCACAGACTGATGGGTCATTAACGCAAACTGATGTATTCACAGTGTTAAACTCTTGGCACAAGCTGATTGGTTCATGTTGCATACGCAGCCAATGAGCTTGCTGCTTTACATTTAAATGGCTGGTTAGCATTCACTAGTTTCTCTCAAACCCTCCACCTTCCCCAGCTCCACCTGTATAGATCTGCTACGAGTTATATGCTATGTATGCAGCAGCAGTATCTCTTAAATACTCACAGCACCGTATCGACATATGTATTGGCAGTAGTAAATTCCTGTACTTGCTTTGCAGCAGCAATAATCTACAACAACAGTAATAACCTACAGCAGCAGCAATTCAGCAGCGTAGCAGATCTATTCGCCAAAACCAAATGCATTAACATTGTCATATCCATAACCATGCTAAAATCTTCAGAGAGTTGTCATGATAGAACTCTAGCTCAGCCAAGCTAGGAGATCATTTTAAACCAGCTAAGACCATGTTAGACCAGCTATAACCAGCAGAACCATCTTAGGCTAGTTTATGATTTTCTATGTCAGCAGGTTAGGGGAAATCCCATCTTAAGGTTTCTAATAACAATTTGTTAAACCAAAAAGGTAAGGTGTTTTGCTGGTCTTAGTTGGTTTAAGCTGGTCTGCTAGCCTGGTCATGCTGGTCTCCCAGCTCCACTGGCTGAAAATTGTCTAAAAACCCCTTAAATCCAGCCAGTTTGACCAAACTTGGAACCAGAAAACCAGCTTAGGCTGGTCTACAATGTTTTTTAATCACAGTATGTAGGTTTCCTGATATATGCATTAGCTAGTTTTCTGTTCCAAGACAGTTAAGAGAGGAGAGAGTAAAGATATCTTACTGTAGGCTTATTTCAAAATGTCAAAGACAGTTTTGTGTTCTCCGTTCCCCACAATAGAAGTATAAACTGTCACATACAAGAAACCTAACAGCACAAGAGACCATTTTTGCGTCTTCAAGAGCTGAGAATAAGTGTGATTCTCAGCATGAATCAATACTCTGTTTTTCTTCGTGAACATCTCCTTTTATTCCGAATCTGTGTCACGCACAGATTGAACTCAGAGTGTGTGTGAGCGGTCCTGCGCTTGGCAGCTCCAGGCTACAGATCTGGCAGCACAACAGCAAGCAGGACCCAGCGCTTGCTTTCAAATGCTAGCTAGCGTTATTAGCGTGGCAGCCTTTAACAACACTGTTTTGTAACCTTCTCACAAAGTCCGGGGCAGTTTCTCAATGCATGGATCTACATAATGTATGGAGGAACTGAACTCAATAATCTGAACTCAAGAACATGTAAGAAATGCTTTTTTTTGATAAACATCTAGCCCATCTAACAAATCACTTCAAGCTAATATCAGAAGCAAATGCCTTAAAATATCTCTACAAAAAAGCCCAAGGCTGTTAAAAAATGGATGTTGTCCTTCTTTCTCTCTCTCAAAACACACTCACTCCTTCTCCCTTGAGGACCATTTTCCCTCGCTCCTGGAATCCTGGCCAATAAACACGCGTCTGCGCTATTGATCTGAGCTCTAATTACCCACAAGTCTCTACATATGATGCTCTTTTTGCCTGGCTGACATTAAAAGCCCAAATTAATGTCTATTTCCACCCTAGTGTCCCTCTGCAGAGATTTTCCAGTGATTCCAGAACATTCTGCCCTGGGTTCAAACACCTATTGGTTTAATCAGCAGAATCTGACCTAATTCCCTTTTATGCTTGCATAATCCACCACATCATCAAAAAACAAAATCCTCTAACAAAGCTCATTATATAAGTGGCAAAGCAGCCAGAACTCTCTCTCTCTCTCTCTCTCTCTCTGTTAAACGCTAAAACAAAGCCACTCAGTTTAATTTACTTACAGAAGCAGGCCCTGAAGGTCATTTTCTTTTCTGCTAAGCAGGTTTTATTTAAGAGTTGACAAAGTTATATATAACCGCATTAAGGCGTAGGCTGTGAATGTAGTCACCAGTAAAGGTAGGGTTTGTCTTTATCCACGTTGATGTTGTTCAGAAGATCCATGCGGAACCAGGTGTTGAGGGTAAAGCCGTTCTGATAAGGCCATTTAGCGATGGGAGGCAATGCAATCGCCTGGCAGAAAACAGAGAGCAAAAATGTCTTGGAGTCTGTACTGTATATGTCATGTATGGATCTTTTAACATGCTAGACATTTGTTTATATACATCCAGTGCTTCAAAAAATTTAAATATCTAATGCAGTCAAGTTATTGTTCCCAATATACATATAGCCAGCAAAACAAATATACTGTTTATAGAATGGATTTCTCTATAATGAAATTACAGTAGGAATGAACAAGTGCCATATAAGTTATTGGCCAATATCAGAAAAATGTAATTTATCTGTATTGGTTGAAATTTGATATACTGCGTATATATATATACACATTGTTTTAATTTATTATTTAATAACATTAAATAATATATAAGTCAGTAAGTTTTTTAAAGAAATTAATACTTTAATCAGCAAGGACAGATTTAATTGATTAAAAGTGACAAAGAAAACTTAAAATAAATGCAGTTCTTTTTAATTTTATATTCATTAAAAACTGGAAAAATGTGTCATGGTTTCCACAAAAATATTAAGCAGCATGACTTTTTTCAGCATGACAGCATGACTTTTTGTTAACACTGATAATAATAAGAAATGTTTCTAATTATTCCAAATAGGCATATTAGAATGATTTCTGATAGATCACTTAAGACTGAAGTAATGGCTGCTGAAAATTCAGCTTTGCCTTCACAATTAAAATAAAATTTTTGTATTTTGTATGTATTTTATTTACACAAAGCTTTATAGTGATTTAATATTGGCTATTTTTCAGTTAACCGTATTGTGAAAATAACAGTTTAAAAACAACATTTAATTTAACTTCACAACATCTGAAATATGCAAAAATATGCAAAAAAAAAAAAAGGCTAAGAATGGGGTCACTCACAGCTGCACTTCGGCCAGGAAAGTTAAAGAAAGTGTCTGGTCCATGTCTCTGTGCCATTTGAGTGAGAACTGAGAGCAGTTTGACTGCATGTCTTGGCTGTGGAAGACAGAAGTACGTGAGAGGTAAGACAAGTAACTTAAGGAAAAACCAAATCACCGTAACGAAAATCCCACAGGACCTTCTCAGCAAGAACTTCTGAAATCAACTTTAAATTTTGCCTCACTAAAATCAGTTCTGATTTAAGAACGTCGATCCAATCTGTCGTATTCTCACCTCTTTTGGCAAGCTAAAACACATGCTGATCAAAACATTCCATTTTCACGTCTCATAACTAATTGTTTCATTAAAGCCCAAGTATCTCTTTTTTCTCCCCAGAGGGGTACTTCACTCTATCCAAAAACTGAAAACTATTGTGACAACATCCTCACTGTAGCGTCCGCCAGCACTCGATGTTCTGTCAATATCCCTCACTCGAGAGAACGGCCAATCGATACCTGGGCAGGCCTGATCTGTTCTGCGGTTGATTGCTCCAGAGCTCTGAAAAGGCTCAACGATCTCCAAAAGCGGTGAAGCTAACAACCCCTTGGAGCCCCAGAGCCCTACATGAGTTTTCACTCATTTTCAGTGACTTACCCACAATCCACCTTCTCCTCTCAGCATGCTGAAGAGCAATTTGAGTTCTTTGACGGTGATACTGTAGCTGGCCAGAACTCCCAGCATATCCACCAGCAAGTCTGTGCATCATGGGAAAAAAAACATAAACATACAGACAGAGAGACGTTAGATCTGGATTAACTGAAGCGGGCAGAGTGTGCATGTAAACAGATTCCCCAGAGCACAGGTGTGTGTGCAACATACACAAGACATCGTATCATAACACAGTGCAAAATAGCAATTTCACAGTAAGACGTGTGAGAGGATCAAACCGCGCCAAACAGACCCCCAGAATGCACCTTCCCCAAGTGCGATGGCATAATTCGGCAGGCCCTTGGGGAACTTCCATTTTTCAATATAACTTAGTTAAACATAAAAAGGTTTCAATTAACTGTTTAAATTGAAAAAAAAAATTTAAATGAAACAGACTGATCAAAATGGAATGTACATAGTACAATGTTTAAAATTGAATTAAATAACAAATAATAAATTAAAACAATATATCTATCTAGCTAAACCTTGCCATCAAAGGAATACATTTTATTATAATATACATGTGTGTGTGTGTGTGTGATATTTATTATATTTTCTTTATTATTATATATATAATAACTATCATTCAGATATTATGGCAGATATTAAGACTGAAGGCTGAAGTAATGGCTGCTAAAAATAAAAGCTATCGTAAGAATAAAACACTTTTTAAAATATATTAAAATTAAAAAACTATCTAAATTGTAATAATATTTCACAATATTACTGTTTTCACTGTATTTTTTATCAAATAAATGCAGCCCTGACAAACCATAAGAGAAAAATCTTAATTACTCCAAACTTTTGACAGACAGACAGACAGTATACACACACAATATTTTTTGTCCCCTAACCCAACACTAACCCTAAACCTACTCCTTACAGGAAACATTGTTTTGCATTGTTACACTTTCAGATAAACATCATTTACTATTTTTAATCATTTTTTTCCCTCGTGGGGACCGCAGACCCGTCCCCACAATGTAAAAAATTTGAGGTTTTACTATCACTATCATCATCATATTTGGTCCCCACAATGTAGCATAAACAAGTACACACACACACAAACACATATATATATATATATATATATATATACCCACTTCTATGGTTCACAAACAGCGCCTACAGTTGACTCAGCTCTTTCAATTCAGGTTAAACACTCAGTGCTGCGAGGACGACATGAGAAGTTATGCTAATTAATGCCATTTTACACTTTAATTTCGAGTTTCATCAAGACTGCTGCTTCCATAAGGCAATTCACAGCCTCTGCTTCTTAGAGGGTTTTGACTCTGAAAAATTGCATTTAATGTATGCAGACAGAGGAACATGTTGGCCATGAATTACAGATGGAATGAATCAAAAAACATTCTTCTTCATTCATAAACGGTAACTAAAATTTAATATTGCTCTAAACTGCCACTCAATCTCATTACCAGACGGTGCAACTAATGAGATTTTTCTCTCGGTTTCTCTTCTGCTTTAGCCTGATGAATTCCACTGCTGAGAAGATTGCAGTTTAATCCACATTTCTTTCACTCACAGCAATTCGCACCGCTCTCAGGCGTAAAAAAAAATGGAAATTTTGAAAAAATGGAAGCCGTTGCCCATATCTTACACGCGCTGTTCAAAGCAGAGCGTTATCTTTGACCTTTTATGCAAAAAAAGTAAACAACAAGCATGATTTAATATGCAATAAGGTTCAAATAAATCTGCTTTTGCAGCTTGATCTAAAATCTTAACCTAAAATACTACACAGGTGAACTTCACAGCCAATGATCAACACGCATGCTTGTGGTATGGAAATATTGTTGATTGCTACTTCTTTTGGAGTTCAATTTAAAACAGTCATTATTTACTCACATTTAAAATAAAAAATGAATAAATAAAAATATAAAAAAGTTAATATTAAAATCTAAAATAAATAAATAAAACATTAAAAAATATCAAAGAAAGAAAGAAAGAAAGAACAAAAATTTATTATTTTTTTATTTTAAGGTTAAACATTTTTTAATTGAATTAAAAATAAATAAATACTTTTTTATTTTAAAAATAATGCATGTTTATGGTATGGAAACGTTTTGATTACTTATTCTTTTGTAGTTCAGTTGAAATGAATAGCTAAAAACTGTCATTATTTACTCACACTCGTGTCCAAAATGTGATATTACATATGTGAGATATAGTATATTTACATATATCTTTTTCATACAAAGGCAGTTCATAGTGACCACAGCTGTCAAGCTCCAAAAATAACAAAACACCATCAAAAGAGCACCATAAAAGTAGTTCATATGACTGTCTTCGGAAGCCATTTAAATGAAGAGACTGATATTTAAGTCATTTTTCAGTGACAAAATCCTCTTTCTCAAAAAAGACAGCATGACTGTTCTGACTATTCTGCACATCTTTCATTTCAGAGCTGTTTAAACATTTTCTGAACCATTTATAGAGCTTTGGGGAAATAGAAAGAAATGGGTTTTACAAGAGGTCAATTCCAAAACTCTGGAAGAGGGTCAGATTGAGACCACTCACCTGCGATCATGTCATCCACAGAGCTCATTTTGAGCAATAGCCTCTGAATGAGGCCGACCTCAGTGCTGGTCTGCAGGTTGCGGACACTCTTGCGCAGGATGGCGGTAAACATGCTCCAGATTTCCGCCTGGCATGTGACTTCACAGTGTTCCAGCAGCTCCAGCATGCAGATGATGGCCTCTGCATCCTGGATGATGAAGTTCATCTCCAGGTCAAACTCACCACCAACCAGCTGGAGCGGAAGAGAAAGAAAGAGAAGGGAAAAGGACAAGGAAAAAAATTGATTAGACTCACTGTAAGTAACAAAAAAGAGTGATTTTCTTCTAAAGCTTTTAACGTTTGTTTGACGTCAGACAAACGCAAGTGAACCAATTGTGACAACAAATAGCTTAACTAAACTCAAAGAAACCTTGGAAAAAAAAGCAGATGTTTCAACAATCAAATCCTTCTACACTTCCGGTCATAAACAATAACTATAATCATTTGGGAATTATAAACACCAATCAATATTTGTGTTCTGTGGACTAAGCAAGCATGAAATTGAAGATTTCAAGACTTGTCTCGAGCACATGGGAAGACTTCAGGCACCTTCTTCAGAGAGCAGCGAAGCACACATGTGGAAAATAGACCCCTGCTTCTCGAAGGCTTATTTTACAACATTATTTAAGTCTAACTTGTTGGGAATTCTTGTTGGCAGACAGGAATTAACTCTTGTCACGCCTCGCATCCCATAGATCATTGGTTCTCAACTGGTGGGTTGCGACAAAAATGGTTTGAGAGTTGTTCTGATTGTTTGTTGGAGACAGCAAAGGAAAAAAAAAAGTGCACATTGAACTTAACAATATTATGCCAAAAATGTTAATTAAAGCAAGTAAAATTAGACAGATGCCAACATGGACAGGATGCATGACATGCCCTCAAAAACGTATATAAAACTTAAAACTTAAATAAATATTAAAATTAAACAAAATCATTAAAAAAAAAATAATAATAAATAAATAATAACATTAATTTGTTTTAAATAAAACAAAACAAAACAAAACAAAACAAAACAAAATAA